TGCTATTCGTTGTTCTGGAAAACTGTGGGAAATCGAGGGAAAGCTTGTAAAGCGCTGGAACTACGTAGAAAACTTTAATATCTTTTAAAAAACAGGCTGGGAAACAAGTCAATAATGGCAATTTCTATTAACAAAGCTATACTTTTAATTTCAACATTTGCTTATGGATTTTGGTTTTAATGATCGAAAATAAGTTTAATAATGTTTTTCTTAGGTTACCAGGGTTGAAACGCCGCTTCGCGACTTTTCAACCCTGGCCCCGTCTCGGACCCCATACTATTCTGCCCTTTGCATAATTGTCCTCCATTCAGAAGACAAAAAAAAAATGAAAAACAACCCTTTCTGCCTCTTTATATAGACGACGGCCCACTTCCGGTGTATGCTAATTATTCCTAACAAAGATGTTTTTACAAAAACCTAAATTTAATAGCGAAAATGGCTAATTTTTAAAAATCTGATATGTGTGCAGTCATCCCTAGACCATTACGCACCTAATGACGTATCATACGTAGCCCAATACCCGTCCCTTCTTGAGATATCCTCCGGACAGACAGACGGAAGTGGATGCAAAGTGGCACACACACACACAACACACAAACACTACTTTTTTATATATAGTAGGATATAATTGTTTTAATCCCAAACATCCACTATTTCCGGCCATTTCCAAGCTTTTCCGCAATTTTCCACCCAACACCTCCTCCCCTACGTACCGTGTCCGCAGTCTCTGGTTGTCCACAATATTCAGATCTCACAGATAGCCCCCGGAGCCCCACGAAGTGTTCTCGAGCCTACGTTACAATCCTCTGTACACCGTAGACCTGTCAAATACAAGTAGAAAAGCCCATATCCACCCCCACGAACTTACAGGAGAGGCCCCACACGCAATTTTGTGATTTTACTGCGGCATATCCGGCCTTCACGACTAGTAAAGGCCGTTTTGTAGTTTGTGGTTTGTAGAGCAACTTTTAAAACCTTCAAAAAGAATCGATAGCGTCCAGATTACAAACTACAATTTTCTTGGTTTTCTGTACGCCCAAACCTTGTAAATTCTCCATTTCTAGTCACCCCAGCACACAAAAGCAGTTACAAAACCTGAAATCGATACGCTTTTCCGTTTTACTCTCGACAGAAAAATACAGTGTCCTGTGATTTTCTTTTCGTTATTTTGTCGTTTAGCATTTAGCGTAGCGCAAAAACTCTCTAAAGACTTGTTCCCCCATCTCCGTGTTCACCATCCCCCACATTGATACGGTGTCTACAGTAGTCATGCGGATAGCTTGCAAATGTGTTTTTATACATTTGGTTATATTATTGTCACCCACCCTCCCTCCCCAAACCCCATCCCTCTACTGGTCCAATGGTCTGTGTCTGTGTCCAACGTTTCATGTTTCTGGTTTTGATAATAAATATTGAAAAATTGTATGTCAAAATTCACACCGAAAACAGCTCGAAAAACAATAAAAAAAACACTACGAAACTTGTAAGGAAACGGAATAATGAGACTTTTCGATTGTAGTTTGTAGCCGAGGCGGAACGACGCGGCAATACTTTTTACGTATTGGACTTCGTGAGTGCATTGTGGAATCTCTGAATTTAAGTTTTTTTTTGCGCAAAATAACACTAAATCAACCTAAAAACGTAAAATAAACAAAGAAAAATTAGTTTCAGATCGCTTTTGGAAGTTTATACTCGAGGTGGCGCAATACCGCACAACTTATTACCCGGTAAATTCCGCGTTTAATGCGCAGTTGTGAGCTTTATAGTTTTTAGTGCTGGCTCATGGTATTTTCATTGCAATCCTTTTTAAGTTATCCATAAAAATTTATACTTGTTTTTAGATCCTATTCGTGGCCTCGGAAGCCTTGAAATCAACTTTTTTTTAACCCTTGGACAAGCTATTTTTATTATTCGACGTCCCAAAGTCCAAACTTCGTCAATTCTTCGTAAAACGATACTTTCAGCCCCCTCATCGCCATTTCCCCCACTTTCCCCCGCAAAATTCCCCCAATATTTTCGCGTTATTCAGCGCATTTCTGCCATCCGGCCACCCGGGCACCGGGGGCCTCTCTTTTCCCCCATTGGGATGTCTGTCTGTTTGGTTTCTCTCTGTCTTTCTATCTCTCGGCCTCTCCTACTCTCCAATCTCTATTCCACCGCTGTCGCGCGTCTCTCATACTCTCGCCTGTTTACCCCTGCCCACTACAGCCCGGCTCTCCCGTTTCCTCTCCCTCTCTTCCCACCGAATTCCCACAATATCTCTGCCCGCTCTTGATTTCACATACTCTCTCCATGGCCATCTGCGACCCCACATCTGCCCGCTATTTCGTGACGTTTGCATGGAAACCCGTCGCGTGTCTCTCGTCTTTTGACGCACTTTTCTACCTCTCCTCCGACTCATCCGTCTGCTGTCTCCGCCGAAAAACGATCCCTAAATCGGCGCCCCCGCCCCGCCACCTTCCCCACCGCCCGTGCTCTCTAATCAATTTTCTTAAAAACCCGGTTTATTGCGCTTTTTGGGAATATTTTTTCGAGTGGTTTTGGAAATCATAAGCCCTGGAGGCTACTCGTCATAAATCGAACCTAGAACTTTGGATATTAGACCCAAAAACGTTAGGTAAAACTTTTAAAGAGGCGTGCAAGTGTTTCCTGAACCCATTTTGATGGTTTTCCCCTGAAAACTACTTTTAATTCGGCTATACCTTTTAGATCTGGTACGTTTTTGCTGAAAGCATAGTCCTAGAAAGCTCCAGCACTTTATAGACGGACTCTTGACTTTGTAAAATACGTCTTTTACTAATTTTGACAAGGTTAGAGTAAGAAAATTCTATGGCCTAATTTCTAGGACACCCCGCGACATCTATCATTCAAAAAAATCCGGAAACTTCGCTTGGGCTTCCCTGAAACTGGCTTTTATAGACTCAACTCCGGTGATAAGCCTGACGTAACATTGGAAAATTCTTTGAAATGGAGTTTTGGCGCTACGGCCGTTATTTATTAATGCATGACCCTCAATTTACTTTCCTGTTGCCGTTTTGAGCTCAAAGTGGAATTTTTTCACTTTCTAAACGCTCTCGCTGATTGGTTTCTAAACACTTTTAATATTATTTTTTCAGCCACCCTCAACAATGGAAGCGGACGGCCCGAAGTCGAAGCCGCCGGTTCGCGGCAAGACGTCGCCGTACGGATTCTTCGTGAAGATGTGCTACGAGGAGCACAAGAAGAAGTACCCCAACGACAAGGTCGAGGTCACCGAGATAGCCAAGCGGTGCAGCGAGAAATGGAAGGTAACTTGTTCAATGAAACGAATTTTTGGGCTAAAAGTCTCTGTCTCGCACCCATTTGTAAAATTTTTTATTTTTAGACGATGAGCGAGGAGGAGAAGCGCCGTTTCTACGAGCTGGCCCACAAGGACTCCGATCGTTATCATGCTGAGGTACTTTTTTAATGTTTTGCAGTATCAAACTATACTGTGGTGATGCGTTCCCTTCTTGGTGCACCTCTTTAGAGTCAAAAATATAATAGTCACGTCAATTAATTCATTTTTCAGGTCGCCGCCTACGCCGAGGAGGACCAGTCGCGCAAGCGGAAGCGTGCCAAGCGCGACCCGAACGCGCCAAAGCGCCCGCTCTCCGCCTTCTTCCTTTTCTCGCAGGAGCGCCGGCCGCAAGTCGTCGCCGAGCACCCGAGTACTCCGTGATGCAGGGTAACTTTTTTGGGATTTGTTGCTTTTCGCGACCCGCGCTAGGATTAGGTGTTGCCTAGTGACTGGACTGCTTTAAAGATTTTGTAGTGACGAAAACTATCTCGTTTATCATATTCTTTTAGTCGCCAAAACACTCGGTGGTGTCTGGGGCACGATGGGACCCGAGGACCGCGAGCCGTACGATCAACGCGCCCAGAATGACAAGCGCCGCTACGAGCTCGAGATGGCCGAATATAACCGAACCCGGGCCCAATCGCCGAATGTTGATGTCGTTCATAATGTAAGGTTTTTATTACACTTAAATCGCTTAGAATTAACGTTCATAAGATTAAATATAAACTATTTAGTTGTTTTTAGTAGTTTTTCCCTTTTATAACTTAAAATGCTGAAAATTTAGACGGTCAACGATACCAAGTTTCTTTTTCATATATTTTTGGCGCAAAATCAGATCTCTTCGAAAATTCAATGTCGTTTTTTAGGAAGTTTCGCTGTCAAAAGAATGTAAAATGCTATTAAAAACCTTAATTTTTTCATTAAAAACCGGGTGATTGAAAAATTAGCCCCCCCCCCGCTAAAAGACCAGAACCGGCTTTTAGTTTAATTCATCTTTAAAATCTAATATCCCTTTTTCAGTACCGCGCCGGCCCTCCCCTCAAGCAGCAGCAAAACCTCCATCAAATCCTGACGCCCAGCCTCTGAGCGCACCCACTGATGCTAGAAGTTTGACCTGGAATTCACACGAATTGTTTGTTGTTTCTTTCCCCCATTTCTCGCCCGCCTATTTACACATAGCGTCCCCCGCTACCCCCGTGATACTCACTTGCCATTTGACGCGCTATATACCGACCGCCGCTCCGCTGTCGTCGTCTTTTGTATAGTTACGTACATTCTTCTTCTTCCTCGTTCCGTGCCCGCTGCCCCAATTTTCGCCCTCCATCCGAACCTCGATTGTTGGCAATCCAAATTAATTAGGCGATCGATTACGCGCCCCTACTTCCTCATCCACATACCCGTGAACCGCATTCTGGGATCTTCTCTTTTTACACTTTTATTTCGAGTTTGTCCGACATTTTACATTGTTAGTCCCCCCGCCTGCCCAAAAGTTGATATACCTAAAAAGTTTGTGCGAAAATTTTACCTTTCCAATAAAAACCTCAAAATTTCCAAGGTACTATTTTATTTCACAGGGAGCACGAGGCAAGGCACAGAAATCACAGAGTATGAAAACGTAGAAAATAACAATTTAGGAAGATAAATAAAAGTATGCACAGTACGAAAAGGGACGGCTAGCTCATTTTAAAAAGAAATACCCAATTTTGACGTAGCCGTTGGTGCGGTAGTTCCTGAAATATCGAGGGTTTCGTTACGTTTTTCGATTTTTTTTCCGGATAGCCACAATACGATAAAATAAAGTTTAAAGCTTTACCATTGATTTTCTTCGCTATCCCAGCGTTTCGTCACAATCGTGCCCATCGTGTGGAGCCAGCCCTGAATTTGCGATTCCAATGTGTGCGGGTACGCGGCGTGGAATCTGTAAATCAATTTTTATATTTTTTTCTAAGCTACGATCCACTTACTTGTTGACCACCTCTTCAAATTTTACACCGCGATTCGGATCCGCCTCCGACACGATACGCAACAACTCCAAAAAACGCGCTCGTTGACGTGGGCCATACGCGCGGACCATGTCGATGCCTTGTTGGTTCAGCTCGAGGTCGTCTTCTTTCTGAAATAAAAATAGTTATGATCATGATCACGATTTTCTGACCTCATAGATTTGCCATAAATGCGGGTGATGTTGGATGAAGTAGACGAGGTAGTCGTGCTTGTCGAAAAGCTCGAGCGGGCGATGCTGAGGTACGGAGGGGAATGGGGGCTCGGTGTTCGGAACGAGGGTCCTGAAAATGTACATCTACAGCTTGAAATTGCTCACCATAAGAAAAAAAAAACAGAATAATTCAAAGCTTAGAACCCACAGCATCGTCATTGCCGCCATTTCGGCGAGTGGCCGCTCGACTCGCGGTAGTAGCGAAGTTATTAAAGCAATCCGACATCTTTCGGTTCGTTCGGCTTCCTGGAAAGTTTATAATTGCTAGTTTAAGTTTAGAAATGAAGAAAAGAAGGGAATCCATATATCTGTTTATAAATATAATTATCGACCTATCTATTAATATAAATAAACTGATATAGCTTTCAAAGTCTAAAAACCTCAAATACAAGGGGATTCCAAAACATACCTGTTGATCAGTCAATTGACTCAAAATACAAGCATTCGGCAGCGCGCCCTTCACCATCCAGTAACGGCTGAACCACGGCGCCTTATCGCCATACACAGCCACGCGGCGCTTGCTTGCTAAAACATGGGTCTTAAAAAGTATAATACATTGCAAAAAGTTTTACCAATACATTAAAATGCAACCCACCTTGTTGCGGCGGTAAACAAAACACATTATTCTTTCGCGCGCTGCAGATCGGCTCTACCTTCGTCGCCAAGAACTGACAAGCCGCGTTGTGGGTGGTGATGCACGTGATTTCGGTCTAAACAACTTGAAAAATCTTCTTTTTCTACTTACCAAACTCCCAATCGGATACATGTCGCACATTCGGCGCTCCTCGTTCTCCAGATGGTGCGGCATTATCGAGATTTTGCTGCCGGCGAACGGGGGCTCCAGAATGATGGCCTAAACAGATTTTTCAGTAGTTTTTGATAACATTATACCTTCAAAAACGTGAAGCTCCCGTCGATAATCTGGGCGCGGAGTCGATAGAGCTGGCTGTGATCCCGGACAATCTGTTTTCCGGCTTGGTCAGGCTGCAGCTCAGGAAAAAGCGTTGAATCGAATAAAGCTGGCGAGTTGGCGAGTGTATCTTCATGTAGACCGATGCGGCCTTCTAAAAACTCTACAATTTTTGTATTATGATACTAACCTCGTTCCACAAATATCTCGCGGTGTCTGTGGAGCAAAACCTTGGCTTTATATCCCGGCTCCTCGTCTTCATAGCAATTTAGCTCTAGCGGATCTGTGCTGTCGTCCGATGTAGGCAACCTGAATTAAAAAAACCATTCTAAAAACTCTTAAAAACGTACCACTCAAGAAATTCGGCTGTTTCGACTTCTACTCGCTCGATGAGCTTGGCAACAACCTCAAACAGCTTATCCCTGTATTCGTTTCGCCGGTTTTTCACCTAAAACCGGTTAAGCAATCCGAAAAATTCGAACCTTGTCGCTCCGCCGATCCAACGTGAAAATGTGACCATTTTGCAAGATGAAACTTCGGAGGAATTCAAGCGGAGTGCCCTAAAAACATGTCGGAACCTTTTAAAATCGCTAACCTGTTCAAAGTAGAATTCGCGATCGGGGAATTCTTTCAAAAGTTCTTCAACTTTCAGCGATCCTTTGCTTCGAAGTGCCGCATGAGCCTAAAACAGTTTAATGCTGCTTTTATTAAGGTGTTTACCGTATTCAATCGATTCTTCGTCTTGAGTAGCAGCTGTTCTGGGTATGCCGGTATTTTTGAAGTGGTTGCCTCCATTCACAGAAGAGTTGGTGGCTAAATTTTCGTATTTTAGAGGACAAAATCTACATTCGAACATCATTGAAAAGCACTTTGAAGTTTCAGTTCCAGTTTTTAAAAGTTAGTAAGAGCGAAACCAATGTTTTTGCGCTTTCTAGCTTTGAAAAACACATTTTCGGATAATCTGTTGCTACAAATCTCTCAAAAATCTTATCGCATTAAATATACGGGGAATCGTTTCCAAAGGTATTAAAGAAACAAAAGGGGGAGGAAACTCTTGTGATGATATTTGGGGGGGTTTTGTTTTAAATTTAAAAAAAAAAGTGAAAAAGAAAAAAAAAAAAAAAAAATAAGAAATTGGAAAAAAAGGGGTTTATGGGATTTAAGTTTGAGGTTTTTATTTTTGAAAAAGGGGAAGGTGTTCCGCGCGTATTTTTTCCCGGGCGCCCCCGTTCCGACCCAAATAAAAACCCCCCCTCCGGGAAACCCGTTTAAAAAAAAGGGGTGGGAGGGGGGAAGGGTTTTTTTTTCCCGGTTATTTTCCCCTTTTTTTTTTTTTTGGAAAAAATATGTGAAAAGAAAAACCCTCCGCTTCCCGGTTTTCTCCCCCAAATAATTTTTTTTCCCTTAAAATCACTTATCTTTTTCCCGAAGTTCTTTAAATTTTAAGGACATTAAAAATTTTTAAATAATTAGAAAAAAAATTCCGTTTTTCAAATAAAAAAATTTTTTAAATTAAATTCCCCAAAAACCCCCAAAATGATTTTTTTCTTTTAATTTTTCTTTTTATAAATGCATTTGGTTAATTAAAGAAAGTGAAAAAAAAAGAATATTATAAAAATTAAAAAAAAAGAAAAAAAAAAGGAAAAAAAATAAAAAAAAAAGAATAAAAAAAGAAAAAAAAAAAAAAAAAAAGAAAAGGGGAAAAAAAAAAAAAAAAAAAAAAAAGGGTTGAGTGGGAGGGCCCGGGGAAAGGGGATTTTTGGGAAGAAAAGGGAAGCCCCCAAAAAAAATTTGATTAAAAATTTTCGTTTTTGGTATTAAGGGGGAAAAATAAAATAAAAAAAAAAGTCCCCTAAATTTCCCCAAAGACTTTTTAAAAAAAAATGAAAACGTAAAATCGGAGTTCGAAACGTCTTTGGCTCAATTTCTTTTCAAAACTATAAAATTCAAGCCCTAAAATTGGCTTACGAGCTTATTTTCACCCTCCCGGGGAAAATAATGCTTTCGGCTTGGCGCATGCCTGCCCCTGTCGATAGTATGCCCGCGTACCAACCACTACGTTGCACGATTTATTGCGATTTCTTTGAATACAAGCACACCAAAAAAGTTCGCATAAAAGTCGAAACAATTGCGGAAACAATTTACAAAACCTTGTCACCATTAGGAAAGCTTAGAAAATGAATATAAAAGCACAAAAGGTGAAAAGTTTCCTACACGGGCCCGGGGCACATCGACCACAGGTTGTGGTTTGACGATGATCGAGTTTTCATGGAGGATGCGCCCCGGAAATGCTATCGAAACGGGTAGATTGGGGGTGGATGGGCTACGGTAGGTGGGGCACAATTTAAAGTTGGCGGAAGGGTTGGAAAGTGGAGGATCGTCGAGGGGTTGGCCTGGCGGTTGATCGGCTGACTCGCCGCTGGGCTACCCGTAAACGGGAAAGTAGCGTAGTTGATGGGAAGAAGAGGGGGAAGATCTGAAAACCTATTTTTTGGAGACAAAATAAACCACTTCAGGGTCAGTTTATTTTTGGAAAAAGTGTTAAAGCCTTGCGCGTTCATAGTAAAAAGCGTACTCACTAGGAAAATCTACTAAAAACGTGCGAAGTGCAAAGTAGCACTAAAAACAATGAGTTTCTCGATTTAGAAAGTATTTACTTTAAGATTTTTTATCTGTTACGATATGCTGCGTCATTTTTTTAGAGTCCTACGTTTTCCTCTACGCTTCTAACGTTTGTTAACAACTTACGAAGCTCATTTTTCAGGCAAGGGTCCGCATCCGGTCGATCTTGGGAACCTCGATCTTTCCGGGGAACATCTCCTTCAGCGCCGACTCGATATGGTCGCAGAAGCCCTGGTAGGAGAATTCGCGGTCGAAGCGGGCGCGCTGAAAATAGTTGTTAGATTTATAATCGTAAAATAGGGTTTTAAGGCCTAATTCTCACCTGAATTCGATAGCCATCGTCCGTGTCGAGGGCTGGCCACTCGACGCGCTTCATGTGCTTCTCCATCGCGTCGGCGAGAAGTTCCGGGTTCGGGCTCGCAATCTGGAATTTAGAAAAAGGCGTTTGAGCCGTTGCTCGCTCTCGTTCTCTGTCTCTCTTTGTCGCTCTCTCACTCTCTCACCTTGTTGCCAGTAACATCCTCGATGACCGTCTCGGCAGGGCCGCCGCTGTCGCAGACGATCACTGGCCGTCTCTGCTCCAGAGCCTCTATTGGCACGATGCCAAAGTGCTCGTTGGGAGGCGTGTAGAGAGCAGAGTCGCAGGTTCTAGAAATTTAAGCTTTATAAGGTTAAAATTGGATAACTGTACTGTATTATCTATTTCTCTCTCTCGCTCGCTCTCTCTCTCTCTCGCTCTCTCTCTCTCTCCTCTCTCTCTCTCTCTCCTTCTCTTGTCGCGAATTAGCCCACCTGTACAGCTCGAACTTGCGTAGCTCGGACGGGGATGGGACGAACTCGACGACGTCTTCCACGTTCAGTTCCTGTAAGAGTGTGATTAAAGACGAAATGTTAGCTGCTCTTTCTCTCTCCCACTCTTGCTTTCTTTCTCTCCCTCTCACTGGCTCTCTTTGTCTCTCTCGAAAATGGATCATTCTTCGACTTACGCTGGTCATCTTCCGCAAATCGTCGTAGTAGATCTTGCTCTCCGGGATGTGCGGCATCACCGAGCCGGCGAGTTGGACAAGGAATTTGTAGCCGCGGCGCTTCAGAATACCTTTAAAAGTGGTATTCAGTTGATTTTTATGAATAACGAATTCTTATAGAGCAGCAAAATAGCAAAGCTTTTTGCGGATTTTAATCAGAAGAGGATCTACCTGCCGCCTCGACGATAATATCCAGCCGTTTCTCGGGCCAGAATCTGTTCATCGACATGAAGATGTAGCGGTCGTTTGGGGCTCGGTTCTTTCGGCTGATGGCTGTGGCCGCCTGAAAACCGACGATTTTTGGATTTTCTACGTTCGCAAAGCATTTCTGCCAGCTTTACCGGAACTAGAGGTTATGTTATCTTAAGCCTGGGTTTTTGAAGTTAAGTTTTTGAAGCTCGGACCTACCTGGCTGACAATAGCGTCGACGTCGCAGGGTGGGTAGACGACCTGAATCTTGTGGTCCGGGATCGTCGGCATGACGCGTCGGAATTGGTTTGCTGAAAAACAGTAGTCTTAGTCTTAGCTTAGACTTAGATTCGGGTTATCTCAGGCTTATCTCGGGCCTTGATTAGCTTAACCTTCCCGACCCACCGGTAAAATGGCTGTTGACCATGATGATGTCGGTCTTCTCGAAGAGGTACTCCTCGGCGACGCCGATCATACGGGAATACCTGGAAAAGCCGGGTTTTTGGGCGTTGCGTTTTTTAAGATAAAGAATGGTTTTAAAAATTTAACGAACTTACCAGCGATACAGGAAAAGCCTGGAAGGGGTGACCAGCTGTTGCGGGAAGTGACAGTAGAACAGCATTTTCACGCTCGGGAAACGCCACTTGAGTAAAGGGACGCAACTGAAAATGTAATAGTTATTTAGACAAGTATAAAAACAACAAAAAATGGCTACAGTACGATACGATCCGATACGATCGTACGGAGTCCTCAAATCTCTCTAATTTTTACCTGGCACTGTGGTCGATGACGACGAGGTCCGGGTTCAGGTCGGAAAAAGACAGATACCAGCCGAGAGCGACATTTTGTGAGAACCAGTCTCCGGGATGAAGCTTTAGACCGATGTCGCGAACTTCTGAAATTACAAGGTTACGGAGCACCCCAAAAATTTTTTGATTGCTTTGAAAACACACCAACTCCTTCCCACTGATGGTTCCGCCAATATTCGTCAATCATCGTGGTTAGCCATACGACGCGGTGTCCAGCATTGACGAAGTAGCTGAAAAAAATGTAAAAATTGTGATTAGGATACGTTTGAAAGATCGATTCGTGAACAACCCGCAAAAAGCAAAACGTTTGCCGCCAGCAGGGGTCGAACCTGCGACCTTGGGCTTATTAGACCCACGCTCTAACCAACTGAGCTATGGCGGCCGTGAATGGGGGTCTCACCGGGGTGACTATCAGTGTTCAGGCGCTCCAGGGTCCGTCTCCATCCAAATTTGGGCCAGATTTTGGACGTTTTTGAAAGTTTTAAAGGAGCAGCCTACCTAGCTTTTTTAATATTTTTAATAGCTCATTTTGACCAATACACTGTCATGGAAATCTTACACCCCAAAGCCGTCTACAAGTTCTCATATGTTGTTGGCTTTTTTTAAGAGATAGCAACGTCTAGCTCTGTTAATAGCTTTTTTGAAGGGTATATCTTTCTGTTTTCCTGTTTTTAAGACCACAGTATCTCCAGAACCCTGTCCAAAGCCCCCAGCTGTCAGCAGTCAAGTTCCCCCACCCCGGGCTATATCTTTAGTCCAATAAATTTTCGTCCGGGGGCTTCTCCTCCCCCCGGTCAAGCCGAAGCTCTCTAAAGGTGCGCGATAGGCATCTGGAGGGAGGAAGAACCGGACGTTGGGGGCTTCGTCTGGAGTCTGTGCCCAGCCTCGGTCTGAAGATGCCGAGTCCCGATATCCACCCCTCCAATTCCTGCCATCGGCTTCCATGCTCGACGGCACACAAAAACAGTAGATCAAGCTGGTTTTAGCCTAGAGCTACGCGGCACTACGCCTATCGACGGTATGTAAAAATAAATTGCGCGAATTCAAGCCCAGAATAGTACTGTCTAATCACAAAAATTAAAAACTTGGAAGGATTTTCGAAAGATTACATACCGTAGCCTGGTATGGTTTTTACAAGTTGTTTAATATAAATCTCAAAATGGCCGCCGAAATAAAGTTAAAGATTAATTTTTAGGTTTTTGAAGAGTTTTGTAGCCCGCTTTCCTTTGGTAGATAGAATTTAAGTTGATGATTAAATTTAACATCGTTTCCAAAGGTAGGTTGCTAATAAATACCGTATACCAAGGTAATATTTCGGAATGTAAGAAACAAAATTGTGTAACCTACCGTATCATAGCCACCGTGCACCGATCCGATCCGCCGTTCCATTGCTCAGGGTGAATAATGACGACGAGCATCTTCTGCAAAATTGGCACTGGATGGATGGCTGGGAAACAGAAAGCCAAGAAATGGGCGCGTAAGTTCGGAACCTATGTACGATCTGATACATAATTACGAGGGGATGGGATTTCGGTCCATTTTATAGGCAGCAAATGGTATGGGGCGGGGTTGATCTGTCGTGCCTTGGTAGTAAAAAGAACTGGGTTAGGGAATAAAAGAGAAGTTTCAAAGCATTTTACGGAAATAAGGAAATTATTTGGCACAGTTTGCTAAGTCGAATCCACTTTCCCCGTCCACTCTCTCTCTCTCTCTCTCTCTCTCTCTCTCTCTCTCCACTCGCAACATCTAGCCCTCAATTTTGCCGATTTTTTTACGAAAAATCCGGGACTCCCGAGCGAAATCGAGCGCCGAGATCGGGGTCAATTGAGCTCGAGGGCAATGAGGCAACAAACTGTCGATTCTGGATAAAGGGGAAAAGGGAAAACATGAATTGGAGAAGGAGGATGAGGGAAAGCTCAAGCTCGATTTATCTGGTAGTTTGATCGGTTGGGCCTTTTATTGATTGAGGGAGACTATGAAATGCAAAAAGCTGAAAGAGAAATGCTCAAATTTGGATAGGCTGACTTCAAGGGTGAGTTAGGAACCTAAGAAACTAGATCGGGCAGGTCGGAGAAGTCGAAGAAGTTCGAAAGAGTGGCTCGTTTAGGCTTGAAGACAGTTTTCAAAAAACTCAGATGTTTTCTACGAACGGAAGTGAAGCTTAAGCTAGCTTCAATTGCTTTAAAAGCTCGGAAAAGAAAAAGGAAAACTCACGATTCGATCTAGGCGTGGTTGGCCGAGCGCTGCTTCAGCTGTTGGTCCTCCAAGCACCGCTCCTTGGCGTACGACTTGGTGGTGTTGTTGTTCGTCGGTTCTTCGAGGGGCCCGTCGGCGAGCTGGAAAGGAAAAGAGGATGGACGCAAAATTCTGATTCATGTCTTCGCGGGGTTCGAATGAATTCAGGAGGGCTTGGAAACGAGGGGAAACAAAGATTAAGCTCCGACGTCTGCTAGGCGTTCAGGTGGGTTCGACAAGTAAAAAAGAGGAGAAATTCCGCTCCGCACGTCTTCTAGGAGTCCAAGGGAATCCAAATGCCTCGGAAAAGAGAAAACAATAAGCTTCCAGCCTGCCACATCTTCGAAAAGTTTGGGGAAATTCCAATGCCTTAGAAAAGGAGGAAAAATGGGGGTTAGCGCGCCACGTCTTCTAGGAGTTGATCGAAATTTAAGAGACTTTAAGTCAATAACTACAAATCAAGCTTGTATAATTTTAAAGCACCTAACATACCGATGGACCGCCGGCGACGGAGGACTCCTTGACGAACTCGCGGCGAATGAACCAGACGAATGCCGAGAGGGGCACGCTGAAGAAGAGGGCCGGCGTGTAGATGCAGTAAAGGACGAAGAAACGGGTCAACCAGGCCCACATCGAGCGAGTGCTCGAATTGAAGGGGAAGGAAGGAGGATGGACGAGGGCTATGACTCCACCCCCTGAGGAAGGATACGAACAGACAGACAGACACGCCTACGGGGGAGGTCGGTGGGACCGTACGCCTACCCCCAAAATGCACTCTAAAGGAAGCCGACTTGCAAAGGAATTTTTCGGGAGAGAGAGAAAGAGAGGGAGAGAGAGAGCGAGAGCGAGAGAGGGAGGGGGGAGAGAGAGAGAGAGAGAGAGAGAGAGAGAGCGAGCGAGAGGCAAGTGCAAACTATTTGGCTATTTGGGTGTTTGGGTAACCATTATCATCGGGTACCGTATGCACTACCTCCATTCCGAAAGAGATACATACATACAGAGGGGAAAGCCAGAGAAAGAGAGAGAGAGATAGAGAGAGAGAGAAGAGAGAGAGAAACGAGAGCGAGAGATAGATAGATGCAGAGAAAACAGGGTTCAGACGTCAAAACGGCTTCTGACCCTTTTCGTGACTTTCATCGCGCCATGAGTTCCATCGTCTTTGTGTCGTCACAGTATGACAGACAACATCGACGTCACACCGTACTTCCTCAGTGAACTGTTGTGACCTCCCAACGCCGTCTAACTATGCAGCTCTCTCTCGCTCGCTCTCGCTCTTTCTCGCTCTCCCTTTTGTTCTCTTTCGCGCTCTCGTATTCGTATTCATCCGTAACCTTTCAGGAAACAGAATTTTGATTTCCTGCTCCTGAAAGCCTCTTTGTTTCAGTCGCTATAAAACTAAAAACAACCCTTTTTTATGATTTTTCTAACGTCCATAGGAGCGTGTCGTCGCCGGCGGTCCGGGCATGCCGCAGATGCAAGCCCCAGATAGCTGCGTACCGGAGCATGAGCCTGAGCCCGAGCCGTGAGAATCGACATTCCGGGATTGTTTCCTGTTTCCGCTGGGCCACCCGGCGTAGGGCTTCTCATGTCTGCCAGCCTGACTTCGAGAACTTTCTGTCTCTTCTGCGCCGCGGCCGACATAAATCCCACTTCCTGCCGTGGCGCGCCGACTCGCATCGCCCCGATGGCTACACAGATATAGCAGGCGGAATGCGCATTTTTCAGCCTCGTTTTGCCTCAAAAATCTGGACTCACGGCACGGCTACGGTCTATTAGAATCGGGGATCAGGCAGGGAGAGTTGCGTAAGTTCGGAGTTTTGAGGGAAAGTTGGGAGACAAAATCGGCAAAGCTGAATGCTTCGGTTTGTTTTCTCGAATGGCATACGACGTGTCATTCTCCATTTCCGGGCCATTCAACCGTACGCTCCATTCCGCGCTCTTCTCAAGGCTTGTTCCCCTAACCTCAAAAAACGCAAAAAAGACACAGAGAAAACTTGTGTACAGCACGTTTCACTGAACGCCTGCAATGATCCAAAGGGCTAGAAACTACTAGAATCTACCTTTTTCTCGGCTAGGCCTCGACAGCTACGTGAGACGCGAAATGACGGATAGTCGCGCATGAATTTTTATAGCCTGATGAAAGCTACCTTAGAGCAAGAACTGATATCCCCGTGTTTGTCCTGGAGCGTGGCGTAGCTGTCGACATCCCATTGGAAGAACGGGTAAATCCTGAAGGTTCCTAGCCCTTTTAAAAAACCTAGGCAAGTGGGACGTGTTTTCTAACAATAACTTGGAGCCTAACTCAGCATCGTCCCTCTCTCTCGCTCTCTTTCTCTCTCCTTCCCTCCCTCTCTCTCTCACTTCTCTACGTAAGAAAAAACTTGAAAGTGCGCTTCTCAGAATCTTAATCTTTCCAACATTCCGCTGACTCAGCGACCCAGAAACTCCACCAATTATGGTCTGGCGGCCAGGCTGCGCCGTGGAAAAATGGAGTTTTCAGATGGAGGGACATGAAAGGGGCAATGTTGATGAGATCTGCGGGCCGAGATACCGCATATTCCGGATCGCCGGTCTTCAAGACCACCGGCTTGGGGTGGGTAGCCCAAAGAGTCGGAGGAGGACTACCGGGAGATCCATATCGGGCCCAGTTTCGCGCACTCCTCAGGACCCGCGAATTCAACAAAATCCAGTTCAACCTCCCCCAGGAAAATCCGGAAATTGTGTCAGGTGCCGCGGGGTCTCGAATATTGCGCTTTGAGTCCAACGTTGGGTGGGTGAAACTGGTGGAACTGGCTTTTTCTGGCTTCTGGGATGTAGGTGGTCGGGTTGGTCGACGTACATGGAGATTTAAAAGGCTTCATGGCGTTCGGGAATTTGGGTTCAATGTAATGAGCTTGCAGCCAAGACAATATGGCAGGAATACTGGAGGAAATCAGAGGAGCCGAGCGCCTTTAGAAAAAAAGCAATGATCCTTTATGGAGATTAAAACCATATCTTAAGAAAAATTGCTGAGAAGTGAAGGAGTGAGGGGGCAGAGCTAGAGAGGGATAGAGAATGAGAGAGAGAGAGAGAGAGCGAGAGAGAGAGAGGGATGAAGACCGGGAGCGAGCCCTAGGGTGTGTTAGCTTGTAGAGCTTGTAGCTTGTAGAGGGCTCTAATAAACTAAGGGAAGCTAGCGCGTTTTCGATCTTAGCAAGGCAAGCAAGCAGCTAGCAGTGTAGAAAACTGGTATTCTAGCAGTAATGCCTTAAAATCAGGGCAAGCTAGCGATGATTTCAGGGGAAAAGAAAAGCTTTCGACGCCAAGGGAAGTAATTTTTTCTGGTCGCTAAATTACTTTTTACGATAACTTCTTCAATTTCCGGCCGCCGGTAATTTCCTTCAGCTTACTGCTAGTTTCATAGCGGTACAAACTACAAGCCCACGCGCGCACACAGACTTCAGATGACTCATTGCGAAATCAGAGAGCACAGGAAATGGCCCGGGCAAGTCGGCGTCTGATTTGTGCCAAGATGAAGCGTGAGTTAAGTGTGATAAAATATGAGTGTCGGATTCAATAGGCATCAGGCTTGAATTTTGGTATTTCAAAGCTTGTTCCTGATTTTGAACTTTAATCTTCTCAAAATAGAATTTTTAGGTGTGTTTTTAGAATTCGGAGAAATCCAGAATTTTTTGGCGTGTGGTTTTCTTAGCTCGAACCGTTTTAGCTTACATACATTTTCAAAAATTACGCAAAATTTTTATATCGTAATTTAATGCCTTAAGTGGGTTACCTCGAGCTAGGAACCTCTAAAGGTCGCGATGACCTTATGACGTAGAAGCTGCCATCTCTAAGCAAATGATAACACAAAGCCCGGCGTCTCGTTATCAATACCCGGAGGGCACAATGCCCCGGAAATTAAGCACAGCATGCGCATCATTATAGACACGAGCGGCTTGTCTTGACCATATTGTTACCTTTGCGCTCTCCTTTATGCTGGAGTTGTAGTTTTGTAGTTTACATTGTTTAATTAATTTCTGAGCTGTTTAATTTTACCAAATTCCCTAACTGCAGTAAATCTTAAAATGTCCCCCGTAGTTATTGAGGGCATCCGGGAATCCCTGTTTGGGTGCACGCCTGTTTTTCGGAACATTGTGGAATTTTTTGCCGCGCCCGGTTCGGCGGACTGCCAGACAAAATACCA